TCTGAGGAAGCAGAAGCTTTCTAAATGAAATATTTTTTGCTTGTCAGAATGCATGTTTAAGCAGGGGTCAGCAAACTTTTCCTGTAAAGGGCCAGATAATAAATATTTTGACCATTGCAAGCCTCAAGAGCTTGATTGTCCTCAAGAACTTGATTGTAACTAGAAGGAAGCCAATGTTTTTGTTTTTGTTTTTTAACAGAAGAATATATCATGTTTATGGATAGAAAGACTTAATTAACATTGTGACAATGTCAATATTATCCAAAACTATCTACAAATAGAATGCAATCCCAATCTGTATTCCAATATCATTCTTTTTTTTTTTTTTTTTTTAATTAAGTGTTTTTATTTTGCATTGAGTGAAAGTTTACAGGGCACATCATCAGCTTCACATTCAACCATTCATATAGCTTGTTTCATTACATTGATTATTATCCCCGCTATATATCATCAGTTTACAGTGTTTCTCTCTATCCTCTTTAGCTTTTTTTTTTTTGGATGGGGGGGGGACTTGGCTTATTGGAATTTACAGTCTCGGCTTTTAGGGGAGGTTTTTACATTTGTCTGTGGATATCCAGGGCTCACCAATGTTTTTTAAACCAAAATTCATGATTGCATATCAATAAAGCTTTTATTTATGGATGTTGAAATTTGAATTGTATATAATTTCACATGTCACAAATACCCTTTAAAGCATTTAAAAGTGTAAAATGTTCTCAGTTTGCAGTGTTGTTAAAAAAAAACAAAACAAAAAACAGATGGCAAGCTGGGTTTGTCCCACAGGCCTTAGTTGGTTCACCCTTGCTTAAGAAAAATATTTAGCAATAAGCCAAAATAGTAAGACACCATATTTTGTTTACTAACATATGTATAAGAAACCAATTGTCTTTTTAGAAATTGTTTATTGACCTGATAATAAACTAGGAAAATACATAGTCCACAATATTCAGTTCTTTAACAATGCATTCTTGCCATGTTTGCCTGTCATGGATTTTGAAAGAGTAAAATCCTGATCTGACTATGTGCCAGCTAGTTCTGTGCTTTTATCGAAGTTGGAACTGACAGCACTTAACAAACAACAACAAAGTTGTCATTGCTTTACCAGTGTCTCCTAGTAAAATAAAAATTGTAAATTTTACATAGCTAAATGTACTGTTTTTAGAAGGAGAGGAAACTGAAAATTATTAAACTATTTTCTTTCAAAAGAAAGAGAGCTTCTTAAATAAAACTTCTTAGCTATATAAATTTAGTTTAATTTTGGTGATAAACTTAAATTTCAGCAATGATAGATATCAAAGCTCACATTTATATTATGTAGGGCCTAAAGTAAGGGTCTCCCGGAATTAACATAGAGAACATTAGCCATCTATGAAAACAGCCTACTCAAGATGTTTTTGAAATTTAGTGGCTAAAGAAATTTGGGACTTCTCTCAATCCAGCCAAGGTGGCCGGGGTTTAAGGGGAATATTCAGTATGTATAAAGAGCAGTGGTTGCTTGTGACTGGAATAGGAAAAAGGATTGACCACAGGCATCTAACAACAACACACATAGGCTAGTGGGAATTTTGGGTAGCATAAAAATTAGCATCAACCATCCCTACCACAGTGTGGTCTTCTCATCTGAGGTTAAGAGTTCATTGCAGTGGCCACAGAGAATTCAGACGCCATACTCACTGTTTATTAGGGAAGTGAATAGATAATTTCGGTTCAGGACATAATTGTTCCAAGTCAGACAGAGTCTCATCTGCTGTGCACATAGGCAGGCCTCTCTCTGGACTTCAGCCCTTGGGCCTGGGGTCTGCCCTGCTCCAGCAATGGTACAAAGTTCTTTTACGGCTGTTGAGAAATGCCCATAAGACACACTACTGCACCATAAGTCTCAGTCCAAAGACACCCGGCTCTAGCTCTGTGGGTCTGCAAACCTAGCACCTTCAATTAAGTGACTGGAGGTACCCCACTCTGCAAATAAGCCTACTGTTCCAAATCATTCAGCTTTTCTTGCTCCATGGGCTGGGAGGCCCATTGCTCTGTTTCATAGTCCTACTGTTGCTCCTCAGCCACTTTCAGTTCCTGGGTTGATGAGGAGGTTCAGTGATATATAGATAGATAGAAACACACAGAGAGACAGCATTCTATAAATAGTGTAGCATAATGTTCTGCCCAGATATTTTTGGTGTTGGTAATGAATCATATAATTGAATCCAGTAAAAATACTTGGGTGAAAGTAGAAAATAGACTGAATTTGAAGCAGGGGAAGGAAGAGATATTATATCTAATCTGTTCACCCCTGTAAGAATAAAAAGCTTAACCTGTATCCAGTAACAGGTGGTCACAGCTGTACATGTATTGTGATTTCAAGCCAAAGATAAAATCATGTATGTAAAGGTAAAAAACAGTCCATCTGAAATCCAATTCCTTTTTCACAGTAGCACTGTATCTGCTGTGGCCAGTCAGTTACCCCTGCATTATGCTTGAAAGAAATTACAATATGAAGATTTTACTTAAAACAGGGAATGGAAGCAAATACTGATGCATGGAGGGGATTGTAATCATTGCAATGTAATGAAATATGATAGGATGAATATAAAGCTGATGTTCTCCCATGTAAACTATCACTCATTTCACAATAAAAACTTTAAAAAAAAATTTTTTTTTTATTTGGAGGGAAAATTAGCTTTAAAAATTGTGTTCCAAAAGCCCTCACTAGAGACTAAATACTAGTCTTCAAGGTGATCCTGTGATTCTTTTCCGTGAATGGCCAGTGTTATGAAACATGACCAACATCAGCTGCTCATAAGCTTACTGGGTGCTTGATTTATACATATCAAGAGTATCTGTTTTTTATCAGGAGTCATAACTTCAAATTCTGTACAAGGGAAAGTAACTGAGTAGAGCAGAAGACATGGAGCAAATGGGAAGGGGGAGAGAGGGATCGCAGCTCCCACTCAGCCTTTGTCAGTTGTTGACGGTACAGGCAGGATATATGTACATACTCTGTGCTGCTCCATCTCCCACTGTTAAAAAAAGAAACACAAAATACAGGCTTTCAAATGGAATCTCCCAATTTTTATGTCAGCACAGCTGGAGTTTTTTGTTTGTTTGTTTGTTTTCTTTTTAAATAAACTATAATCCAAATGAAATATGCCCACATATGCTTTTGAGAGAAGGACTTTTCATCGGTTTTGTTCACTCCTGGATCCCTATCCCATCAAGTGACTTCACCCTACAGACCTTCAATTTGCAACCTCTGACCTTCAAGTAATAAATACTGCATTCATCAAGCATCTGGAAAAAGTAATGTTATAATCATTAAAAGGCTAAATGATAAAGCAGTATAATTTTATCTTTTGTTCTCATTTTGTAGAAATTAAGTAGTAAATATCAGAATCCTAGGTCATGTGTTTTTAGGGTAGGGGTTTTCTTTTATTAGCTATCTTTTTTAATTATAGTAATCATGTGTGTAGTTTTTAAAATTACTATTCCCTATTAAACTTCCATGTCACATACAAGGGAAGGCATGATCTTCATGCTAATGACAGTTCAAATGACAGTCCAGCCGTTCAGTGTCCAGGGACATTCACAGATCTAAGAAAAAATTAGATTTTCTTGTTTTACTTTGTTGTGGAATTCCCTGAGATTTAAGATGACAGTGGATTCTTATTAGCATCAATTCTGAATTTTTTTCCCCACTTTGGACACCCTTAGGTCTTTGGATTATTTTTTACAGAGATGGTGCTGTCAGCTTGCATGCCACTGTATAGGTATTTGAGTCTGATACACGGCCTCTAATAGTAATATTTAAAACACAGGAACTGGTAACTGCACCCAGGAATACATGCTCTTTAAAATGAAAGCTATGAACTCATAGTGTGGCACTGTAGGATCAGCACTGGACTGCTAACCACAAGGGGACAGTTCAAACCCAGCAGCTATTCCTCAGAAACACTATACAGGGCCACAATGAGTCAGAACTAACTCAAGAGCGCTTAACGACAACAATTGTGTGCTCTTGTCTTTACCTAGATATGGTATATTCTTGTCTGCTAACAGAAGGTTCGCTGTTCAACCCTGGAAAAAGGGTTGCTGTGAGTGACAGCTAACTCGATGGCTTTTAACAACAATATATCTAAAAAGAAGGAGCTCCAGTATCATAGTGGGTTACAAGTTGGGCTGTTAACTGCAAGATCAGCAATTCAAATCTACCAACCACTTTGAGGGAGAAAGATGAGACTTTCTGCTCCTGTAAAGATTTATAGCCTGAAAAATCCTGTACAGGGTTGCTATGAGTCAAAACCAACTCGGAGGCACACAGCGACTCTTAAGTATGATTAAGTTAGCATGTGGGAATTTGTTTTCTTGCCCTAGCTTTAGGCCAGACTGGACTGTTCTGTGCCATCTGAGAGAGGGCAGTGTAGGGGGTGATGGGAGAACATGGACTTTGAGTCAGGTGACCCACATGCCTGTTTTGCCCTTTTGTACTAGAAAGCTGTGTGACCTTTGACTACTTAGTACCTGTGTGAAATGGAGGTGAGGGTAGCCTCGTGGTGGTTTTGTGAGGTTTTTGAAAGAAGTGAAGCCCCTTGTACAATGTTTGCAGACACTGGGCTCACTAAGGAAATTTCATGCCATCCGTCCTGTACAGTTGTAAATGCTTCTGATGACCACAAGCCCACTCACGCTGGGTTCACAAACCTTGTCCTCTTTCTGATCTCCCCTGCCTCTCCTCTCCTATTTCTGCTCTTCTTGGGTACTTGACCAGTTAGTAACCATTTGACTCCTCACTGGATCTTCCCATCCATACCCAGAATGTGCTTTTAGGTTGTATGTTTACTTCCTTGGTGCTGTAACAATGCTTTTAGTTTGGTTATGCCTTTGTGTTATTGGCACATCAACTTTGGATCCTTTTTTCAGGCCATCTATTTCATATTCTGAGTTGGGTACCAATCGCTTAAAAATTAATATCATTATAATGTATTTTTTTTTTCTCCATTTGCTCCTAGGTGTTTTGAACTTCACCTATAAAGATGGGCAGAATTTTCCTTGACCACATCGGTGGCACCCGCCTGTTTTCCTGTGCGAACTGCGACACGATCCTAACCAACCGCTCCGAGCTCATCTCCACTCGCTTCACAGGTGCCACCGGCAGGGCATTCCTTTTTAACAAGGTTGGTGGGAATGCTGACTTCATTTGCTAAATCTCCTCAGTGAGTATGGTGGACCGCAGCATCAGGATGCTTCCCAGCGTTTAGAGGTAGCAGGGACAGTCTAATGAAGAGTGGCAATCTGGAGACATGATTGCCTGCCCGCTGTTTTATATAGGGTCCCAGGAAAGCATCACTAAAATGTAATTGTTAACCTTAACAGTTGAAATGTGACCCAAGTAAAGCGATGGTCTCCACTGTCTCAGGAAACAGTCAGTGTAAAGGTTGGCTGTGGCTTCAGCATACGCTGTGGAAGACGGGGCCAAGACGCCCCTAGCCCCCATGTCACTGATGTATCCATACAGGGAGACAGCTGCAGTACATGGTTATAGCCTGACAATGCAGGGAAGCAAGACTTATCTAGCGTCTCTTGTTTAAAGCATGCTCACCAAGCATTCTTCTGATCATGATAGGGCTTCATATATAGTTCTGCCAACATGAGGAGGGCTCCCCGTAATTTCCAGCTTGTTTTGAAATTGATGTGATTCTATGTCCTAGGTCTGTGGTGTACTTGTGAAATTGAATAACCAAATCCTTTAGGATTTGTACAAGTACTACTCTTAGAAGGCCAGATAAACTTCCTCAGTGGGGCACCTCTTTGATTCATATGTACAAATAAGTTTGTCTCACAGTATGTGCTTTGATCATTATTTAGTTGTTGAATAAGTGGGTATACTACAGCTGGTAGACTGGCTGCCTGTTTTTATATTGTTCTTGTCATCAGGTGCCATGGGTTCAGCCCTGACTCATAACAACCCTACGTGAAACAGAACAACACACTGGGTCCTGTGCCACCCTCACAATTGTTGTGACGCTTCAGCCCATTGCTGCTGCCATTGTCCTAATCCATTTCATTGGGGGTCTTCCTCTTTTTTTTGCTGACCTTCCACTTTACCAAGCATGATAATCCTCCAGGGACTGGGCCCCCCTAACAATATGTCCAAAGTATGAGAAATGAAGTCATGTCATCCTGGCTTCTGAGGAACATTCTGGCTGTGCTTCTTTGAACTGAGATCTGTTCTCTTGGCAGTCCATGGTACTTTTTTCTATATTCTTCTCCAACACTGTAACTCATATGTATCAATTCTTCAGCATTATTCCTTATACACTATCAAACTTTCACATGCGTATGAGGTTATTGAAAATACCATCGCTTGGGTCAGGCACACCTTAAACCTTAAACTGACATCTTTGCTCTTTGTACACAATAAAAGGTCTTGTGCGACTTATTTGCCTAATGCAATATGTCATTTGATGTCATGTTTCCATAAGTGTTGATAGTGGATACAGGCAGTAAGTATGGCAAAAGATACAACCCTAATGCACACCTTTCCTGATTTTAACCCATTCAGTATCCCCTTGTTCTAATGACCACCTTTGGGTCTATGTGTAGGTTCCTCATGAGCACAATTTTATAAGAATAAGTAGTCTGGAATACTCATTCTTCAATGTAATAAGCCATAGCTTGTAATGAGCCACACAGAAGCCTTTGCATAGTCAATAAATCACAAGTAAACATATTTCTGGTATTCTCTGCTTTCAGCCAAGATCCATCTGACATCAACAGTGATATTCCTAGTTACATGTTTTCTTCTGAATCTGGCTTGAATTTCTGACAGTTGCCTGTCAATGTATTGTTGCAACCCGTTTTTGAATTATCTTCAGCACAATTTTACTTACATGTGATATTAATGATGTTCAGTGATTTACACATTCTGTTGGGTCACCTTTCTTTGGAATGGTCACCTTTCTATCACCAAGGCCATGTTTTCCAGCTACTGACCTTTCCTTTTTGTTTCTAACCTTTGCATTTCAATCACTAATAATTATTGGAATGGACACAGGCTGGCTTCCAAATTTCTTGGCATAGATGAGTAAGCACTTCCAGTGCTGCATTAGTTTGCTGAAAGATTTCTATTTGTATTGCCAATACCTTCAGTGTAATTTGGACTTCTTCCTTCAGTACCATCTGTTCTTGATCTTATGCTACCTCTTGAAAATATCAACCTTTTCTTTTTGGTACAGTGACTCTGTAACTTTTTTTTTTTTTTTAATGGTTTTTGCATCATTCAATATTTTTGCTCCATTTCTTCTATTTTCTTTAGCATCTCTACCTGGAGAGCAAGTTTCAGAGTCTCTTTGTACATCCGTTTTGGTCTTTTCTTTCTTTCTTGTCTTCTTACTGACCATTTGCTTTCTTCCAGTATGATGTTCTTAATGTCATCCCACAAGTCTTCTGTTCTTTGGTGTCTAATGTATCAAATCTATTCTTGAGATGGTCTCTAAATTCTGATGAATGTGTTCAAAGTCACAGTTTGGCTCTTGTGGACTTGTTTTAATTTTCTTCAGCTTCAGCCTGTACTTGATTGGATGACCAATTTGTGGTCTGAAATCTGCCCCTGGCCTTGTTTTGGCTGATGAAATGGAGCTTTTTAACCATCTCTTTCCACAGAGGTAGTCAGTTTGATTTCTTTGTAGTCCATCTGGTGAGGTCTATGTATATAATCGCCTTTTATGTTATTTTAAAAAGATAATGGCTGTGAATAAGTCATTGATCTTGCTACTTCTATCATGCTATTTCCAGCATCATTTCTATCACCAGGGCCATGTTTTCCAGCTACTGACCTTTCCTTTTTTTTTCTCACCTTTGCATTTCAGTCACGAGTAATCATTAATTAATACATCATGATTACATATTTGATCAATCTCAGAATGAAAAAGTTGGTAGATTTCTTCAATCTCATCATCACTGGCTTTAGTGGTTGGTACATAAATCTGAATAATAGTGGTATTAATTAGTTTTCCATATGGTTATTATCTTATCAGACAGGGTTATACTTCAGGGTGGATCTTGAAATGTTCTTTTTGATGATGAATGCTATGTCGTTTGTCAGTCATGGCATAGTATATGATTTTCAGATTTAAAATGACCAACACAACTTCATTTCAGTTCACTAATGCCTAGGATATCGATCTTTTGTGTTCCATTTTTTGACATCTTTCCAATTTTCCTAGACTCATACTTCATACATTCTAAATTCTAATTATTAAAAGGTGTTTGCAGCTGTTTCTGCTCATTTTGAATTGTGCCCCATCAGCACGTGTGGGGTCTGAAAGCTTTAATCCACTCATGTCATCACAGTCAACTCTGCTTTGAAGAGGCAGCTCTTCCCCAATCATAATTTGAGTGCCTGCCTTAAGGGTTCGTTTTCTGGCACTATATCTGACACTGTTCTAGTGCTATTCATAATGTTTTTATCGTCTGGAATTGTATCTGACGCTGTTCTGCTGCTACCACGAGGTTTTCAGTGGCTGAACATTCACAAGTAGTCTGCCTCTCCTTCCTAGTTTGTCTTCATCTGGAAGCTCTGCTGAAACCTGTCCATTATGGATGACCCTGATGGTATTTAAAATACCATTGGAATAGCTTTTAGCATCATAGCAACATGAAAGCTACAACAGAATAACAAACTGACAGAGGAATGGTGAGCCTGTTTTGTAGTCAAGTTAACTGGAACATAACCTTTATGCATTTATGTATTATCTGGTTGTTTCCTTGCTCCAAAGGAGTTGTTGAATACTTGCAACAAAGACCATATGGTCCTCAACTGATTACGATCTGGCTCTTTACAGAAAAGAAAAATGCAGAGGATTGCTGGGTGTTCAGAATTACTGAAAGTTCTTTATAGCCATTGTCTTTGAAAACCATTGCAGTGTGTGTTTGGTAATAGGTTTAGTGTATCCCAGCCTGCTTGTATTTTGATTGCGTTTTCAGATGTAATTTGACAACTTTGTTATAGAATACCTGTTGTATACTTTTATCTTGATTGCTTTATTTGTACTCTTAAAACATTGACCATTGAAATAGTAAATGAAAACAAGGGAATCCAAACCCACATTTTATTATTCCAGGACTTTTTACTGCAAAACAGAATTGTTAAATAAGATATATAAATAAAAAATGTGGCTTGAGCTAGGCCATTAACACATGATTGCATTAGATAACGAGTTCAGTGTAATTTTCAGAAGCTAACCTGTCCCTGCAGCTTTGTTTAACTAGAGTAGCAGCTTTTGCTTTCTTTTTCTGAAGGTGCTCTGTTGCTGTACCAACCATAATACTGGATACTTGTTTAGGAAGGAATTTACTTGCCTTTGCATTTTTGTTTACATTTTCTTAGGTAGTTAACCTGCAGTACAGTGAAGTTCAAGACCGGGTCATGCTTACGGGCCGCCACATGGTTCGAGATGTGAGCTGCAAAAACTGCAATAGCAAACTGGGATGGATCTATGAATTTGCCACTGAAGACAGCCAGCGTTATAAGGAAGGCCGTGTGATCCTGGAACGCGCTCTAGTTCGAGAAAGTGAGGGCTTTGAGGAGCATGTACCATCTGATAACTCTTGAAGAAAAATAGAGAAATACCATCTTTTCCCAGGTCTCCTTCACTGAAAACAAAAACCTACTTACATACACTGTCACCTTAGCATCAGAGTCGGATTCATGGACTGCAGAACAAGAGCTTGTGAGAATCTAAGATGGAAACTTTCTTTCTTTCTTATTTTTTAAAAATTTTCCATCCAACAGCAGTGTGTAGAGAATATTATGCAGATGCCATTAAGTTTTTTTTGTTTTTTGTTTTTTCCTATGTTTACATCTTGAGGCAGGGTAGTCTATCTGCAGCTATATAATAATGGGCTAAGTGAGGACAAAAATCTGGGCTATTAGAGTGAAAAGTGTTTCATGTCAATTTTTGAAAGGAAAATAATGTCAAGAGCATGGTTTTTAAACATACTTAGGCTTCGTTTTACAACCTTTTTAAAAACTCAGTTATTTCACCTGGTTCGCTAGCTTCAGAGAAGAGATCCGAATGTGTGACCAGCGCTAAAGGTCCAGTGTTGGCGTGGCTTGTGCTGGCCATTGTGCCATATTCCTGTTGGAGATGAACCGTAGCACCAGAGCCCATTCTTCCTTGTCAATCTTGACCCAAAGATGTCACCATTCCTAGTTATTTGTCACCACATAATTGGTGTTGATTGGAAAGTTTACCTGAAACGGGGCAGAGCTGCTTGGTTGTCTTTTCCCATGTAACTTAAGCATAGTAATATAAATAAAGTGATAGTTGGATGTTTTTGGTCCTGTGTTGCTTTTTAAATTACTTTTTAGAAGAAGGGAACACTTGATAATAATTGTCATAGTAGTAGGCGTTTCTTTTCATTTCTAAGTGAAGTTGGCTATACTATATTACTCTTTGTTTAAATTAAAGCACACTGTTTAAACCCACAGTGTTAATTTAGAAAACAGTTGAACAAGCTGTCAATATGCATTTGTTTGCAGAAAGCACTTAATCTACATCTGTTTCAAAAGAAGAGGGAAATGAAGTAATTTATCTAAAAAGACTGCTTTATAAAACATTTAAACCTCAGCTTTATGTTGATTTTGACAAGTTTGTAGAACCTAATAGTTTTCACCAAAAGATTAAAATCTCATTAGCATTACTATTATTTTTTAGATCTTAGAAGTTCAGTTATTGAACTGCATGTGGTTCCCTTAAATAGAAAGAGTTCAAATTTACCTCAGGTTGTTGTTTTAGCCCAAAATCTATGACATTCTGAAAAATAAAAATGGAAGCGTTTCTTCATCCAAACTACTACTAGAAAGTATAGTTTTTCCTTCATGCAGATTAAATGATATCAGAATTACATAATGACTTACATAGATGGATGCCTGAGTGCTCAATTTCTAGGTCAGTTGTCTAGAAGAAATTTGCCTCAATTTGTGGATCTTCCTATTTTTGATATTAGAAGTGACTTCTGACTACAGTTATGAAAAGTTCCCCGTTTTTGCCTTTGGGCTTTTGCTTAGAGGCATAGGTCTCTGATTAAGTGCGTAGGAAGGGGCTTCAAAAGGTCATGAGAATTTCCATTCTTTTTTCAGTCATTTTTATCTATAAACTCTTTTTACACCCCCTCAGAGAATAGTGCATCTGAGATAAGTGGACACACTGATTTCACCTTTGCCTCGTCAGTAAGCATTAACAGAGTGGTCATTCCGATGCAGTTGCATACCAGTCTTTGATTATATGCAGATTCATAGTAGCATGCCTTACCCGCAGCACTGTGTGTATTTGCTGTCCAATAAAGTATATTTTGTCTTGCATTGGTACAGTATTGCTACTTATTTCCCACTGGCCCTATCTGTGAACACAGGTACATTTTTTGAGTGACTGTACCTTTCTTCACTCGGCACTACTAGTCTGTGTTGCTGTGGGTTAAAGCTCTGGACTGCAGAGTTGGTTTGAACTACAAGGTCAGATATTCAAGCTCACCATCCGCTCCTTGGAAACCCTATCCAGGGTCATCACTATGGGTCGGGACCGACTCAACGACACTTAAACAACATTCTGTCTTAGTTAACTATACACTGAAAGTCAATGATTTGCCAATCTTAAGTTTTCTGAGATTATTTTATCTTGGACACTCACAACTATAGTATGTATGATCAAAGAAAATATGTTGCTGGTTTAATTCTTAGGTGACTGGCAGATACCATAGCAAGATTCCATTTGCCAAAAGAAAAGGAGAAAAGATAGTTGGAAGATCCAGTCAAATTAGATTTCTTTTTTTTTTTTTTTTTTTAACAGAAAAGCAAAAATTGTTCACCTGTGGGTAGCACTGTAGGATAAGCATTGGATTGCTAACTGCAAGGTTGTTAGTTCAAACCCATCAGCTGCTCTTGAAAACCCTATACAGGATGCCTGTGAGTTGGAACCAACTGGATGGCACTCATTAATGAGAAGAAATGGGAAGCCACTAATTATTGAGAAAGATGTTGTTATAAGATAGAGAGGCTAACTAAGCTAAATACAGGTGAACATTACTGAATAAGTGGAAAATAGGTTTATATAGATTTAAGTTTTACCCTTTGAAGGCTTTAGAAATCTTTTTTTCCTCAGTTTTAGGCAGTAGGGGCCATATGTTTTGATTCTAAACATTGTGAGTACTTTTATTTAAAAAATTGGGAGTATGTTGCTCCATACAATAAACACTGGACTGTGAAACACAAGGTTCGAGGTTCCAGCCCGAGCCTGCTAGCCTCTCTGCAGGGGAAAGATGAGGCTTTCTGCTCTTGCAAAGATTTAAAGCCTCAGAAACTGTACAGGGTCACTCTGAGTCAGAACCAACTTGTTGGTACTTTACATTTTAAAAGATGTCTATGGAGCTAGACTGCCTCATCTTTTGCTGGGGAACAGCTGGTGAGTTCAAATAGTCTGAACCACTGCACTACCAGGGTTCCTTTTGTGGCATGTTGCTAGCTGGTAATAGTAGATGTTTGTCACAAGAGGCTCGCTGGCTTATATGAATAAGAAAACAAGTTTTCCACAGATTTGGAAACAGTGCTTCTTAAAATGGATGGATACAACAATTAGATAAACTGACTTTTTAAAGCAGTAGAGTCTGGGAAAAAAATCTAGTTTCTAGAAAGATCACTAGACTTAATTAAATCTTGTATTCAATGCTGAATTTATTGATAATGTTACTGAGAAGTCACTTCACTTCTGAACTTTGGTTTTCTCATATGTGAATTGTAAAAGAAGCTCTACCTAAAACACTTTCTTGTTAGAACATATGCCATTCAAAGCCCACTGATAAGTATTAAGCAAATGTATTGTGGTTAAGTGCCTTCAAGTTGGTTCTGACTCATAGGCTGGTGAGTTTGAACTGCTGGTGGTTAGCAATCCAGTGCTTATCTTACAGCTCCACACCAGGACTCCATGTACATGTATAGGAAAGCTAATATTTTCAAGTAATCCTGAACAATGTTTCACAATTTAGTTTTGATCCTAGTCATAGAATGACCAGAATGCATCTAAAGTTCCTTAAATCCATCCTGGACTTGATACCAGAAAAGAAAACCAGTTGGTTCTCATAGTGACTCTAAAGTTAAACCTGTGGGAAGAATAGGGCAAGAAATCTGTTCCCATCTAGGCCATGCTACATTTTAAAGAAATCCTTTGCAATCTGCTATAGCAGACATTTTACATTTTACATTGCTGTCAAAAATCTTAAAAGCTGTTTCCTCTGACCACGAAGCAGAAGGAACAAAAGACGAAAGGTTCATTGAATAGTTTCATTAATGATAAAGAAAAAGGAACAATTTTCCTCCTCCAATTTACACAAGTTAACTTTTTGCTAAGCACAAGGCAGGAATTTCCACTGGCAGCTGCTAACTAGTTTCAGACCCAGTTTTCTTTCCCTGTGTTTATCTTTGCCTAAAGGAGCTCTGGTAGTGTAGTGGTTACGAATTGGGCTGCGAACCTCAAGGTCAGCAGTTCAAAACTACCAGCTGCTCTGCAGGAGAAAGATGAGGCTTTCTGTTCCTGTAAAGATTTACAGCCTTGGAAACCCTGTTCAGGGTCGCTATGGGTCGGAACTGACTCGATGGCACTTAACAACAACCTACTTGATAGTGTTGGCTATAAAGGTGTTATGCATATACCAAATCATTTAACACTTCTCTTTTTCCCTAAGAATGAGCAGATCACCTCTTTTTCCTGGATTTAAAGCAAAATACAAAGACCAACTCCTAGTTATTACAAAACTGCATTCAGCAAATTTGAAAGCCCAGTTTTGAAATGTCATTTGTGTCCCTGAGAATTGGTCAGAGGTTTTCAGGGACAGGCGGAGTTTAAGAAACCTTGCTGGTGTGCCTCTTAGACAGGAAGCCGGCTTCTGCTACTCCTCACAATGTCCATAATTTGCACTACCATGGAGTGCACTCTTAGCACCGGGTCACAGTGGCTCCTCTTCACTTCACCTCCCCCAGCTAACTTGCTCTACCCAGTGCTTCCCAGAAAATGCTCTAAACCACACACTCTGGAAAATTCAGGCATTTCTGCCCCCAGCTTTAAATACGGGATGGGTACAACATCTGACCACCTATAACTTCCTAAGTAGGGAAGAGGAGAATCACAATAAGCCCAAGGCGTACATAATCCTATGAGATAGACTTCCCCTCTCCAACCTTTCTTTCTTTTTTTTTTTTTTTACTAACACCAACAGCTGTCCCACATCATTCCTCTGCTGGGTTTGATCGTTTGTTTAATGGCCACACATCACTCAACAGAGGATACTGATTATGAGGTTTATTCGGGGAATAGCTGGTTACAGTTTATGATGAGGAACACTCAGAATCTTAGTTCAGTCAGGATTCCTCAGCTGTGCTCACAACTGCCTGCCCCACCCCACCCCAGGCCATGGCCTGCTGAGGCAAGGGTTACAAAACTCTCTTAACTTTTGGCCTTTCAGACCGTTGGCCTCTGCCCTACTTCGGCACATGTAGTTCTGCAGATTAAGTGTCTATATCTCAAGTAACCTCAGCTCTAAGTCCATAGAAAGACGGGAAAAGCTGCCTCCAAAAAAATAGAATCAACAATCTTAGTGACCTGAATGGAGCAAAGCTTTCTGGACCTTCACTTGCTGATGTGGTACAACTCAAAATGAGATGAAACAGCTGTAAACATCCTTTAGTAATTGGAACATGGACTGTATGAAGTATAAATCTAGGAAAATTGGAAATAAAAAATGAAATGGAACAAAGATCGATATCCTAGGTATTAAGTGTCGAGTCAGTTCCAGCTCACAGTGACCCTGTATAGGATTATTGAGAAGTGCATGGTGAGTTTGAACCACTGATTTTGTAGTTCAAATCAGCCTTGCAGTCCAGTACTTATCCTACAGTGCCACACGAGAACTGCCTTCTGGGTATTAGTGTGCTGACATGGACTGACGTTGGACATTTTGAATTAGTTAATCGTATCGTCTACTATGCTGAGAATGGCACAGAGGGATTGTGTTGATTCATTTCTAAGACCATCTCCGGATATATACTGAAGTACAATGCTGTCAATGTTAGTATAAAATCCATATGCCTATAAGGAAGACCATTTAATAACAACTAGTCACATATTTACACCCTCGGAAACCCTGTACAGGGTCGCTATGGGTCAGAACTGACTCGACGGCACTTAACAACAACAACAACAAGTCACATATACTCACCAACTTCTAATGCCAAAGATGAGGAAATTGAAGATTTGTACCAGCTTCCACAGTCTGAAATTGATC